GATATTTATCATCGATTGTTACCTCGTTCAATTTTCTATAATCTACTACTATTCTGTACTTTCTTTTTCCTGAGTTATCGATTTTCTTTGGGATTACTAATAAGGGACTGGAGTACCTGGAATTACTTTTTCTTATAATACCTTGCTCCTCCATCTCTTTAATTTGCCTACGAACTTCCTCTTCATGTTGTGGTGGGTGTCTGTATAATTTCGAGTTTATTTGCTCGTCCGTAGTGGTCCTAATTTCATGTTGAATTTCTGTGGTGCTCGTTAACTTTTCACCCTCTTTAAATAATAGTTTTTCAAATGTTTTTAGTAGTTTGGCTACTTCTTTATACTCTTCTGTATTTAAATGCTCTAACTGTATTCCTTTAATTTTATCTTTTGTCGCTTCCACCGCACAAATTTCTTTAAAATTAAAAGGGTTATTTACAAATTTTGTTTCTTTTTCATGTAAAGTTACTTTTCCATCCACCAGATTTATCATGGTGTTCAAATGGTTTAATAAGTCAATTCCTATTATATAATTGTATTTTCTACCTCTTAGTGGTGTTGATTTCCATTTTATATACGCATTATCAGGTAAATTAAATTCCTTTGGTGCTCTAGTATGCACTTCATGAGTAATTTTCTCCTTACTTGTTACTGTGCTGATTATTATTTCATCTTTAAGGGGTATTTTCCTAAAATCATTTAGTTCAGCGTCTACTAAACTTATGTTCGCCCCTGTATCCACTAAGGCAATGTACTTTTTTTTGTCAATAGTTACTTCTATTCTCGGTAACCCGTCCGAGGCTTCCTTATAAAAAAATTCCGTTATTTACTTCTTTATATTCTTCAGATTCTCTATTGCTTTGCCTAGGCGATTGGAAGCGATTTTGGCTGCTACTGCTGCTAGTGTGTCCTGCGATTCGAGATCTGTCTTGGTCAGTTTCTACGTTATCAATTTCCATTGGTTCGACTTGGTTTTGTCTAGGTTGATTCTGACGGTATTGACCGGAATTCTGTTTAGGGTTTCCAGTCGTTTGTTGTCGTTGAAAATTACCTGAATTCATCTGTCTATTATTGTTAGTATATCTTCCGCTAAAATTCTGCTTATATTGCCCTGACACATTATATCTAGCATCATTTTGATTACCTTGATTATTTGCACCTGGTCCCGTGCTTTGATTCTTATCAAAATTTTTGTTGTATTTCTGACCTCTATCGGGATACTTATTATTCCATTTATCTGTGGAATTGTCCCCCTTTGTTTTAAACTTCCTATACTCTGGTCTAATGCAACTATCCTCAAATCTTCTACTCGTCCTTATTTTTATTACATTGTTCAAGTTTCCTTCGTCATAAATCTTGTCTAGTAATACTCCTTGTGTCATATCTTTTATTGTATTTACTAGTAAACTCTCCATATTGCTTAAGTCGATGTAGTGGTCACCCCTATAGTAAACCGTCAGTTCGTCCGCTTTATATTTAATATTTTGCACTTCTATCATTAATTCATTAACTGAGCTTACCTTTAGGTTGGCTACCTTTCTATATAAGTGGTGAGGCTCGACGTCTGGTCGGTACCGTAATTTTAAAGTCTCCTTAATTAGCTGCCAATTGTCCGGCTGTGGGATGTTTATTATTACGTTTTTCGCCTGTCCTTGGATAGTCCTGTAGAAAATTGATCTAACCACCTCCTTCTGTAGTTCATTATTATTTATTGTGGATAATAAGTATTCTATGCTGCTGAAGAATGAGTTGACCGTTATTTCCCCCGTTCCTGTGAAAATAGGTAAACTGTTCACGGTTTTCATAAGACTATGTCTGCTGCTGTTGTTGTCCTCCGTTCTGCTCCTTAGTTCTAAATAGGCTTGCCGCATTTGTTCTAGCTGCTGTTCTCTTCTTGCCAGCTCCTCCACTAAGTCTACGGCGGGTATTTGAATCTGTTCGTTAGCCATTCTCCTTTGGTCGAAGATTTGTTGTCTCTTTGAAGAAATCGTGCTGTTGAATTTAAATGCTTTGGTGTAACACTTTATTTACTTTGTGTTCACTTGCACAGCACTTTGAACGTTTTCTGTAAGTGGTGATTTCCGTTCTATATTCGGTGGAAACCACTGCACTTTATGTTGTTCTTATGTATCCTGGACTGTTTTAACTATAAGGCGTTTACTGCACGTTTTTGTGGCTTCTGCTTATTCATTGAATAGCGTTCACTGCACTTTTTGTGGTATTTACTTTAGTTTTTTTTTTTTCAAAACAGTCAATTTATGATTTATATTAATTATTCTTGTTATATCCTGGAGGGTCTGGTCAACGTCTTATCGTTGGCTACAGATTCGCAGGATTAAATTGGGAATTATTATTTGTACAGGATATTTTAAACGATTTTTTTTTTCCGAACGCGGTTCGAATCACTGGATCCTTGTTCACGATATTTACTTTATTTCGGTTTACTTACAAGGATCCTACCGACTGCGCCATTCAAGTAATTTCCGTGCGTCCGGGCGTTTTTAAAAAATAGTTTTACACGATTAACCAAAAGACAACAAGTGGGTTTGGGCTCTCGAATCAGACTGAATTAAATTATTTATTCAATTTAAAATGAAGCTTATATTCTAGTTACAATATTTGCTTACTAATTACTTTTGGCATATGAATTTAATAAAACTGCTTGCTAATCAATTTGTTCCATGTGAACTAAATAAAACTGCTTGCTAATCAATATGTTCCCCAATTTACTAATTCTCGGAAATTTGGTGTCTTTTTGATTTTCAATTTCTCTTTTTGTGTACAACTTTTGCAATATGCCGGAAATGGTTTTATGTTTCAACTTTATTAATTTGCTTCAAGAATTCTTCATACTTATCAATTGCACCGTCACACAGTGCTGTATGAGCGGGCAAAAATCAAAAAAATTGTTGCCACGTATGTCAACGTGTTTGGTATCGTTGGAAAGGAAATTTATCCTAGATTAAGGATCTGGACTTAGTTTTTGTTTTTATCTCATAAGGTTCTCACTAAAACCTCTTAAAGTTGTGTGTTTTTTATATATTTTTTAATGCCTTTAGCTGGAGTCTTTAAAAAAAAATTGCTAAAAATACAATTTATCATACTTTATCTTAAGACACAATTTTTCTAATTAGAAAATCTGTAAGGAAACCACTCTATAGAGCTTTTTAAAAAATATTGAGTTTCCTGGCTGGAATGGCCTATTTGCTACACCCTAAAATTTGTTGCAGAAAATTTAAAAAATTCCTAAGTTTACAAAGGGATAAAAAAAAAATATGTAAAAGTATGTTTTTTTTTATTCTTTTATTTGAAAGAAGGGGCATTTTTCTTTGAAATAAAAAAAAAAGTCTGCAGACTCATTGCGCTTTTCGAAGAAAATCGTTTTTTTTAAGGTTATAAAAAAAACTTTTGCAAAAAAAAAATTTCACTGATTACAGTTACCATAGTACTTTCCATTACTTAAATGTCAAAACATTCTTTAAAAATAGTAAAGTTTATTACTGTAGACACACGCGGTAGTGTTCTGTGCTGTGTAGTGAAGCGTAAAATAGTGAAAAAACTAATATTAATATGAATTCAATTATAAAAAACTCAATTTTAGCTGATATCTGGATTTCTACTCGTCCATCAGATAGAGTGTCTGCATTATCTGCATTTTTTGAAGACAAATTAATACACGCTAAATGCGACAAAGCACTTACTATGGGACCACCTCTGAGACACTGCCTTTCCGATGCAAAAATAATTATCGAAATGGGTTGACGTGGTTCAAAGTTATGCGGTAACATACATAAAAAAAAATATTCCGACGAACTGATAACCGCCTCCTTTTTTGGAAGTCGGTTAAAAACAGTATGTTTGAGATGGAATAGCATGATATAACACCTTGTTTAAGTTAACATACGGTGACCATATTCTTCAATAAAAAATAAAGGACAAAACAATTTACATCTATATACTTGTAGTTTGTTCGCATTACTTGAAAACAAAATAAAAATTAATAAAACAATTCATCTTTAAAAAAAAATATTTGCGTCTAAATAACACTAAGTGTCGTGTTTATTTTATTTGATGTGGTTTTTGCTTCTTTTTGTTGAATTTCTTTTGTTTTGTCGTGAAAAATTTCAAATGTGTCAGTAAAAAAAAATTTGTCACCCATACAGAATTGGGTTATTACGGCTCTATTCTGTATCACTGAAAAATACTTGTCAAAGTTTTTATTACGGAAAAATATGTGTATGAAAAAGTTTAAATTTATCAATAAAAAAATTTGTGTCACCTATATTATTGGGCTATTAATCTTAAATAAAGGAATTGTATGCTTTCTGAATGCTCTTTAGTAATTGAAATTTATTTGGTAGGTTGTAAACGGTTTTGGTCGGATTTAGGAAGAAAATTGGTAGGGGGAAAAAATTGTTAGTGGCAACGCTGAGCCAAAGTCAGCTTCGATGACAGTGCTTGGTTAAAAAATGCTTCTTATCATGACTATTGCACATTTCAAATACTTCTGGTTTGCAAAATTATACAAGTGATTTGGAATTTTGTGTCCTTTTCATTTAAAAGTAAAAAAGGGTTTATGTCACTATATAAGGAATGACATGTCCCCAATTTCAAAATTGGGATTACGATACTTGCGGCTGTGTCACGGCACCTATCAGAGCACACGCGAATTAACCAGCAAATGTCTAATAAATCCCAAGAAGGTGCGGTAGAACCACTTAGGGCCTGTTGTTCAATATCTGGTTATCACTACCTCCCAGTTAGACGACGATTTCGTTGTCATGCGATCCATAAAGCAGTCGATGTATTTAACTGGAGCTTTTACCTCCAATTTGTGTTAACCATACATTGAACAACCGGGCCGTTTTCATCAACTCTGGTTAACGCTAATCCCCCGTTAAACATCGATGCCGACGACACCGACGGAGTGTTATATGCATGGAGTCGGTAACATACATACATAGTTACGTACATAATTACGCATGGAGATGAATACGAGTACATACCTCTTCTTTAGACACACAGTTCTCATTGTCAGGGCCGCTGTCATAGTTGTTACAATGTTCGGAAACTGAGAACAGATGGCAACCTGTTGGGTCCAAAGGAATACACCACTGAATAGCGTTGAGTAAAAATAGGTCCGACCACGATTCTTCCAATAAAATAACCTAGAATTGAATAAAACAAGAATGTATACTTATACACAAGAATACATAAGTATGAACGAATAAAGTCTTCCAGGGACGAGTAATTGTTCGGGAATACATTTCTTTTGGTCTTATTCTCGTCATTTGTTAACATGGCCCCATGTCTTTTGTTGTAGAAAAGTTGTTGGACTACTGTAGCGTATGCTCATGACATCATTTTTGAGATCCTTCTTATTGCTAAAGAGCCTTCAAGAGATCTTACATTTAATTAACAAAAGAGGATGCTCAGTGTCATTAAAATCAAGTTATAAGCAGAGTTGGGCATTATTTGAATAAATTGTTATTTAAATAATTATTCGAATAAAATTTTATAAGTAATATAATTATTCACAAATAATTCATTCACGAAATAAAATATATTAACCGATTTTCAAAAAATTGGTACCGTTGTAAAGGCGAGTGAACCCTTTTCTTCTGAAATGCATATTTGCATACTTCGTATATAAAAAAAAATTAGAAAAACCACATTTAAAAGAAAAAATAACTTTTCTTATACAAAAAAAAATATTTTAAACAAAAAAATTACCAACCGATTTTTAAGCAATTGGTACCGTTGTAAGGGCGATTAAACCCCCTTTCTTCTGATATGCATATTTGTATACTTTGTATACAAAAATTTGTTTTTCTCAATGGAAAAAATACCAATTTTTTCTTATAAAAAATATTTTAAACAAAAAAAATACAATTAATAATACAATTGAATACTTTATTTAAATGAAACAGAAATTTATCTTTAATTTTTATATATAACCTGTAATGTAAAAAATCAAAAACCATGGTGTTTTTATATCTTTATAAATATTAGATCTGCAAAAGTATCGATAGTCGCCGTACTCGACGTTTTCGATATTTAAGAGCCAAAAACTCGATATATCGATATATATCGTTAATTTTTGATTCTACACTTAAAAACATCTACTCAGTCAAAAAATTTTATTATATATATGAGGTACATATCTGTATTCGTATGAAAAAGTAGCTTATGTCGAAGGGCTGGATTTAGCATAAATCGGCATTCGCAGCATGCGATTGCGAATGACTCACAGGAACAACGTTTGGCAAATAAACGTGCCAGAAATAGTTAAGATACTAGCAAGTCAATATTCTTATTAAGTCTCATCGAAAAATTTCTTGTCGTTTAAAGAATAAAGGGAATGCCGCATTATACTAAATCCAGCCTTTCGACATAAGCTACTTTTCCATACGAACACAGATATGTATGTATGAACAGTGACCCACACTCAAAATCACACAGTGATATTATCCAGTATTCGCAAAGATTTTTCATTCTATATTTTTTTCATTTTTTTTTATAAAAGTATAGCCAAAAGCCATATAAACCTAAATTGCAAAATTTGTGCAAAAATTAAAAAAAAATCAGAAAAGTTTCTTAAAAATTGCGAACTTTTTAATAAAAATTTCTATTAAAAAAAGTTATATGCAGATTAAATATGCAGTTAAATCAGTCGCCGATGTTGTTTGGCGCAAAAATAAGTAATGATAAAATGGCTAAGCCATACTCGATATCGAAAAAAATATCGATGTCTGCAAAAAAAACAATTACTCGATATATCGATACTGACATCGATATATTTGCAACTCTACTTTATATGCCTTAGACTTCTGTTGCATATAGTTTTGCTTTATTTTTAACAGGACTGTGGGGGAACAAGAACAAATTAACGCTTAAAACACTAGTAATTATTTGTTTCATTTAAATACGGTATTAAATTGTATTACTAATTAGTAATGTTTTTGTTGAATTTTTTTATAAGAAAAAATTGCTTTTTTCCTTTTAAGTGCTTTTTCTCCAATTTTTATATACGAAGTATACAAATATGCATATTAGACGAAAGGGGGTTTAATCGCCTTAACAACGATGCCAAGTTTTTAAAAATCGGTGGGTAAATTTTTTGTTTAAAATATTTTTTGATAAAAAAAAATTTTTTTTGCTTTCAAGTTTTTTTTCAAATTTTCATTCACGAGGTATACAAATATGCATATCAGAAGAAAGGGGTTTACAACGAAACCAATTTTTTAAAAATCGGTTAGTAATTTTTATGCTTAAAATATTTTTTTTACATGAAAAAAGTATTTTTTCCTTTAAATGTGTTTTTTTTCCAAATTTTTATATACGAAATATACAAATATGCATATCACAAGAAAGGAGGTGAAATCACCTTTACAACGACATAAATCTTAAAAAATTAGTTTAAAATTTTCTGAATTATTAAGTTTTTAATTTTTCGAAGATCTGACCCGTTATAGCTCCTGTAATATAAGTTTTCATAAAAAAAGTTATATACCATATGAATAAGAGAGAAAGACGGACCACGCCTGTGTTTTTACTTTTTCGCTTTGTACATGGAATAATTAAAAATAATTTTTTACCAAAGGTCCAATTTCGAACTTCGAAGGCCCATATCTCGATTTCGGAGTCTAACTTCGAAAAACGGAGAACTTACTTTTTTTACTTATGACTCAATCTCTTAAAAAAAGTTGGTTTGGTCCAATACCCAGCCGAGTGCTGTACAGTGCTATTGGATCAAGAATACTAGCCCATTCGCGCTTGTTTCGCGGCCGCTGATAAGATCTTTTGCGTTGGCCAATGCAATAGCGTTGAAAAGCAAATATGGGTAAAGTAAAAATTCTTCATTTAGGTTGAAACAACAAAAGAGCAGAACCCTTCTCACACATATTTCTGCCAAAAATAGTATCGCTCTGATGTTATATGCAAAAAAATCTTTTTCGTTTTCATGAGCTTTACCGACGGTCTTATTTCCACCTGTGAGATCTATTCTAAGCGTGCGTAATCTTCTTCTATGATCTTGCAACTACAACATTGGTCTGATGCGTCAACCTCTAGTCTTATGTCATGTAAGCCAACAAAAGTCCTTATAAGGAAGCTGAAGAGCTCAGGTGTGCCTCTTGTATTATAGGAGAGCCAAAAATCCTCGATGTTTCACAGGACGAAAAGTTTTCCCGCACGTTCAAATTTGGCCATTGATGTACCAACCACGTTGTCTTTCTTGGAAGGATGTCCGACTTTCCTTGCTAATTCGCCAAATTTAAAATATCCATGAGCTGGTTTCCTTGAGTCTTACTTCTGCAGCAATGCCCGCCCGAGCAATTTCATCAAGCGGAGGTAGGTTCAAGGTTGCATTTAGGGTGTATGACGACGTGAGAAATCGTAAATTAGTATAATATAAACATAGGAAACNAAATATTTGGACTGCAGCGCCATTATGAATTGCAACCTGATTGTACAATAAATACGGATTTTCTAAATAACTCAACTGCACCGCCAACTAGCGGCTCTTTTTCGCATAAGTATTTTTCATCGTGCAGGTAGAACACATGAATTTGGACGAAATNTCAGGTGTGCCTCTTGTATTATAGGAGAGCCAAAAATCCTCGATGTTTCACAGGACGAAAAGTTTTCCCGCACGTTCAAATTTGGCCATTGATGTACCAACCACGTTGTCTTTCTTGGAAGGATGTCCGACTTTCCTTGCTAATTCGCCAAATTTAAAATATCCATGAGCTGGTTTCCTTGAGTCTTACTTCTGCAGCAATGCCCGCCCGAGCAATTTCATCAAGCGGAGGTAGGTTCAAGGTTGCATTTAGGGTGTATGACGACGTGAGAAATCGTAAATTAGTATAATATAAACATAGGAAACAAGAAGCCCAGACATATGGGGTTTCTAAATCAAGGAATGAAACCGATTCAAAATAACGTGCCGGTTTGGGTTTCGGTTTTGCCAAGTGTTTCGGTTTCGGTTTTGGTTTCGTTCTTCAAAATTTATTTCGGTTTTGGTTTCGGTTTCGGTTTTTCACAGAAATTTTGTTGATATTATTTAAATCACAATGTCTTAAACGTTGAGGAAAGAAAATCGAAAATTACANCCGCCAACTAGCGGCTCTTTTTCGCATAAGTATTTTTCATCGTGCAGGTAGAACACATGAATTTGGACGAAATTGGTTCATAAATACGACTTTTATAAATAACTCGGCGCCATCGCCACCAACGAGTTTTCTTGTAGCCTTTAATAGGACTTTATACGCAGTGAATAACCTCCGAAAATTTGACTTAAATGTATACAGGGGTTTGAGTTAATTCCGAACAACGAAAACAGCTATCATTTTATACATAAATACATATATGTACATATCTATGTATATACATAGATTACTTATTTTATCTTCATTAATTATTCGAATTACGAATAAAATAATTTATACAAAGATTACTTGTTTTATCTAAAAATAAAATAATTAAAAAATTATTAATTAAAATAATTTATCCTCCACTCGAATAGTTTTTCTTTGAATAAATAAAGTTATTTATTATTTACGAATAACAAGAAACACAATTTATTAATTTGTCATTCTTCATTCGAATAAATTTTGCTCAACTCTGGTTAAAAGGCCACTTCGAGTTCTAATCTCTTCTATAAGTCCTATGCTTACCTTTAATGTGTGAGCACTACACGGGACATTATTTTGTTGAAACACTCATCGAGGGGAAAGCTCCACTCTGGAGAGTCATTTATATTCCAAAATGTAATGTGTTTGTAGTTACCTCTATTTCATGTAAAGCTCTACCCAGAATTGCAACGGACGACGGTGAAGCGATCGTCGGTTAACCGCTGTCAAAATTAAAACTCACAAAGGCATATAGAATGGCTTAATATTGCGGTGGCAGCGTTTTTACCGCCGAAGTTTTCGGTTGATTTAAATTTATTTATATTTTTACCGCCCAGCGGGGACGGAACAATGTTTATCGAGTGTTGATTGATTTTATTATTTTCACAAGTTTGAAAATGTTTTCATCCATTTTTATTTCCAGCAAATCTACATACACGAACGTACTGAAAAAAATATTTAATTTTCATTATAATTTTCAAATCAAAATGACAACTGACGGAAGCCGACATGCGCCGCAATCGCGTTTACTCTGA